AGTGTTTTTTTTTTAAGTTGTCCTGGCATTTGGCATTATCTTCAGCAATTTAGCAAGGACAGAAAAACATGATTTGCAGGTAAGTTAGTATCAGGAGTTTTCATATCAATCCTGTTCATTCCTAAGGACTGATTTTAAATGAGGAATTTTGGGCATGTTTTTTTAATTTGTAAAATACCGAACTAAAACCACATGTCTTCAAGCAGCTAGTACAGTAATTTCCCATTATAAGGCCAGCTACTGTGAAACATCTCGGAGAGGTTTTTGGTAGAAAATTTAAGGAAAAGTCAAAAAAAGAACAGTATATACAACTAAGAAATAACTTTTTCATAGTAGAACAATGAAGGGGTTTAGCTGAGAGATTTGTATGTGTGTCTGTACGTATAATTTCCCAGCAGAGATAAGAATGAATCCAAAGATGTTCAAGAGGTTTGAGAACTCTTTGGTGTTGAGTGGAAAATCCTGAGCTAATGTGCGTAAGTTTTCCAGGCCCTCAGCACCTCTGCAATGAACTAAAAGTTCTGAAGAGCCACTAAAAATGCTCTTAGTGGAATGTCCTTGGCATTCAGAGGGCTTCATGGACACAGCACCGCATTCATGGTCAGATATTTTTTATATGCCCATGCTGTAAATTTGCCAACAATTAACAGTTTCATGGCTTTTTTTAATTATTGTTATTCTAAAGCATCAGAGCTGGAAAAGGTAAACATATCTGGATTTTAATTACAAAAAGAGGAGGAGGGATTGTGTTGTGAAATTTGCTAATGAAAAACTTTCCAAACAATAGGCAATAGTGGGAGTAGCTGAGTAAAGAAATGCTTTGGTACTTCAATGAGAATAATGAGTAACTGAGGAAAATGAAAGGCCTATGTTTCAAGAAGGGGATTATAGACTGATATATGTAGGTCATGTGAAGAAATACTTTAATGAGCATTCCCTTGAGTGTAACGTCAATAATTTGTGGTTTTAAGCTAAATTAAAAGTGACAAGGTTTGTTTCTGGTTTTAATAAAATAAGTTATGCTTGCAGTACCTTCTGCCGTTTACCAATAAAAATGCAATTAAAATACTTGGAAAACCATGTAATTAATGAAATAGCCTTTGAATTGAGTATGTGTACAGAATCTCTGGTTTTTATTAAAACCAGAATTTGTTAGAGTGCATGAAATATAATCTGTATACTAATCTCCCGATGTTGTAAAGTTAATGACAAATGTGCCCCTACAGTTTCCTAGGAAGTTGTTTTTCTTTGCAGAAGTTCTGCAGACATTTTTTACATGTAAAGTTTTGTTTCTTTACTAATTGGCTGCAAAGAAATTTTACAGCTTAGGAAACTTCATTACTGTAATATTTCTGCTGTGAAAAAGATCTTGCCTTTCTACCGTCCAAGACTTGTAAATTCATAACCTATGCAGGATGCAAGACATAGGTGCCCATAACAGGTGTCTCCTGTGACTCCCTGTTTTAGTGTCAGGCTGGTTTTGCAAGAAAGGTAAAGAACCAGAATCAGTGGATCTTCTGGACAATTTTGGGCAGGCACATTCCAAAAAGAGTAAGATCATTACTTCAACAAGGACATAGCTATAAAGCTGGATACAAACTATAGGCTTTTTGCTAGTGTGAGCCCCTTCAGTCCCTAAACTGTGTTGCTCAGATGTGGGTCCAAAATATTGGAGGGTGCCCATGAGGATGAATTTAAGTGTGGATGCTGCACTGGATTTTTCTGTCAAAAAAAAAAAATAATCATGGGTCAGCCACGCTTGCATGTAGTTGGCAGATGGCAGGGGCAGAGTATGGGACTATCAGCTCTGGAAGGCAGACTATCAGTGCAGCTGTAGTTCATGGTGAAACAATGTGCCTTCCCCCAATGAACTCCTGCCTCCCATATGTCTGATTATTAAAATTCTTCACCAAACATCATTTTTCTACATCATCTTCCTGGGCAATCAGGTTTTGTCCCTAATGTTAGCCCAAGTGAAAATTAGTGCCCTGACTGGTCCTTTTAGGCCAAGTTTCCTGGTGTTACTACCTAGCATGCTTCTGCAACACTACAAAGCCAAAAAGAAAATACACCAGTGGAGCTATGAAATCCTTACTGGATCCTGCTGTTAGGAGAAAAATCAGTCAGGCAATATCTTCATTTTGTGTTATAATCTCCTTTTCTCTTTAAAATAAATATCACTGCCTGCAGGTGATGGGACCCTGGTCCTCAGCCAGGAACAAACATTGCAAAGCAGCTGGCTGGGTTCATTGGTTTCTCTGGCCAGTTTTTAGCTATTTGCTACTCTGCATTCAGGTGCTTTCCTTCTCTCACAGGACCTGGCTCGGTGGAAGAGTCGTCGAAGGAGCGCTTCACAGGATTTAATAAAAAAAGAAGCTGAGAGAAAGAAAATGGAAAGGTTATTGTCTGGAGATGGAACAAATGAGCGCAGAAAAAGCATCAAAACCTACCGAGAAATTGTGGAAGAGAAGTATGTTGTTTTACTGAAGTGCAGTGGCATGTCTGAAAATGCTATGTACTCCGTAGGTGATAGGTAACTGTGGGTCACCATGCCTGCAGGCCCTGGGGTGAGGGAGAGGGAAAGATGTTGATGGAGCAGAGGAAATAGGAGTGATTTCCAGCATTAATTTTAATGCAATGGTCTCTCTTATGTTGTCTCCCTTACAGAGAGAGAAGAGAGCGGGAGCTTCATGAGGCATACAAGAATGCAAAGTCACAGGAAGAGGCTGAAAGCATCCTCCAGCAGTACATCGAAAGATTCACTATCAGTGAAGCTGTGCTTGAGCGTTTGCAGATGCCAAAAATTCTGGAAAGAAGCCATTCAGTGGAGCCAAATTCCCCACTGAAAGACCCGAACCCTCTGAGATATTTAAGGCAACAGTCGCTGCCTGCTCCAAAATTCACTGCCACCATTGAAGCAACCATTGTTCCTACCACTGAGCTAGAGCCCAGCGGTTCGACAGGCTGCACATCTCCCAGCAAAAGCGTTATCTCCAAGGCTGTGCCTATGCTGACACCCAAGCCTTACTCACAACCCAAAAATACACAGGAAGTTTTAAAGAACTTTAAGGTAGGATACATTGCACTCCCCAAAGTCAATCAGGAGGCAAAGAGATCCTGACTAAATCATCTGAACATACAAATGTTTAGTGTAATTAAGTAGAAAATGGTTGCAGCATTCTGATGTTATAAAACTCAACTTTGTGCTCTGTGCTGCCCAGTCTAGTGGTCGCTTCTTGGTTACCAACCTTAGAAACTTGACCTGTTCAGACTGGAATATTTGTGCTGGTCATTTTTTCTCAGGCTGAATTTGTTTGAGGAAAGACAAGGAAAGGGGCACCTCTAAGAAAAAAGCAAGGCATTTTCTGAGAAAGAGGTTATGAAAGAGTATATTGTCATGTTTTTTTGTTTTTAAAGAAAAGGGAAGAGGCAGGTATTGTGGAGACCTTGACTTTTGGAGCAAGACCTGAACTGACTTTTGTGTCGGGTCTGATTTTTGCCATACCCAAACACATCTGTCCCATTCAGCCAACTCATAAGTCTTTGAAACACTACATTGCGCGTGTATTCAGTGCAGAGAGTCCTTACTCCTTCAGAGCCAAGAACCAGCTTGCCCAGGGATAGATCTCTCTCTTAAGCATGCTTCTCACCAGGGATGAATGGGGAAAGCTGCTTCACTGGTGTAAAAAGGGGTATATAGGCTGTCCGTGCAGGTTTAGGGAAACAGATTAGTACTGGGGCAGCGGTCTAACCGGGGATTGCTGGTGAGAGAAGGGGAGTGACTGCGTTGGGTTGCAAGAACTGTGCAAAGATTATGGGAATGAAAAAAGTAAGTACTTGGACGAAAGCAGGGCTGCCTGGAATAATGAGCTAGCTGTGAGATTTGTGGAGGAAGGGGATAGGAGAAGAGACTGAAACTGGGATATGAAACCTGAGGAGTGTATCTTTGGACTGGGTGGGTGTGAAGAATGGGAGTAAGATACTGAACCAATGACAGAGAAAGCAAAGAACTGGGATGTGTTAGAGAGGCTGGAATAAGTCAAGTTTGAAGAAATCTGCTTCTCATAGTGCCTGTACTAAAACTGGAGCTTCCCGAAGTCTCATTGTAGCCCTGTTGTAAGCAGTGCAAAGCCTACTGCTGTGGGTGCCCCCAGCCTGTAGAGTCCAGGTCCCCTTCTGTCTGCCATTGCTATCTGATACTTTGCCAGTGGTGTGCAGGGGTCCCTGCAGCCCTGCTAATGTCCGAGTACCATGTATATTCAGGTTGCTTACTTTTTAAAAAAATAAATCAGCTTTGTATAGGTAGTGAAAAGGACTGTTGTGATGTCTAATTTCTTGAAGTCTGTCCCAGCTCTTGTGGAACCCCTCCAACCATGTTTCCTGGTTGAAATGTGAAATTGGTAATTCGTATTTCTCCTATACCTCATTCCCCTAGAGTTTACATTTTAGACATTAGTGAATCATGGATCTTTATTTTTTTTCTGATCCATGCTGCTTTTTTCCGCAGAGGACCAAGATACATGTGTGTATCACCTTCACATTAATGCATATATAGTTCATATATGTGGGGAGAAAGTAACCCACACATGCTCTAGCACACCTAGATGTAGCATTGTTTTCCCTTGAAACACCAGTCCGTCAGTGATTCTCGGCTCTGGTGACAATGTGTTGACTTGCTCCAGATCAGAAGGAAAGGAGTGTGTTTGTTTAACTCTGCAGCCAGGGCATCTGTCCTGATCATTCCAACATTTGGTTTTCCTCCTTAATGTAAATAGAGAAATGTCTTACTCTAAACAGAGACACTAAAATGGATGATGCAGCCTACCACTGTTTTCCTGGCTTTTTTATTTCTGAGATCTTTCATGACCTGCCTCTCTAGTAGATAATCCAGCACACAATCCCAGAAGACTTGGGGCTCAATGTCTGCTCACGCTTGCATTTGGAAATAAACCCCAAGAGTGGTACTGTGTTGAGTGGATGATGGCAGTGAGGCAAGGGAGGGAAACTTTTCATCTGAAAAGCAGTCAGAAGGAGTGAAATTGCTTGCGGAGCCAGGCTGTTTCTCCTCTGCCAGACAGCTGATTGTGCGAGGTGCTAACTGCCTTCACCTCCTCACATGTCTGTCAGAGCTGAGGATGCCCAGCGCCTCAGAGATGGCCTGTTAGTTAGTCACCCTCAGACAGAGAGCAGACCTCTGGATGCACATATACAAGAAGTCAATGGGGGGAGTTTGCCCTCAGCTTAGCACTGCTAGCATATACTAAGTTGGAGTGCCGTTCTTGAGGTATCCAAACTGTTTACTCAAGAAGTAAAGTACTGAAGATAAGTAAATGGTGAAATAAGGAGCGAGGCGGGGAGAATGAGATGAGAAGAACTTTGTTTTCTTAAACTGTGTTTCAGTTCAATAGAGCAGTGTTGATACTTGTTGCATCAGTTTTCAGTATCAGTGAAATAAGTGAAAAGTTCCCATGGAATAGCTTACCTCTGAGCTTGTTTTTACATGTGGTTTTTGTTCATGCAGTACCTGTGGAGAAACTTGGAATGACTAATCACCATATATATTCCAGATAGATTCTTTAAGAAATCGCTGATCTATGCCATTATTCGCCCAAAGTCCACTGATTAGCAGAGAAGAGTCTGTCCATATTTACTCCCTTCACCTTTGCGTTGTCTCCCATGATGACCATTTTGCAAGGCAGGATCTCTGTGCACAAAGTAGCAAAGCCCTCTTCAAATCTCTGTAAACTCACCCCTGCTGACAAGCCTGTAAACATCTGTGCTGTAGCTCAGTGGGAGCAATATGGTGTTACTGATACCTGGCCCTCTCCTGGTCTCTCCATCTGGGCCCTTTTATGATGAATAGCTTGTGAGTTCTTTGTAGCAAGACCTTTTTCATGTATACCATGGCTTCTACAAACAGTCCTCCAAATTGAAGGACGTCTTTACATGCCACCTCCATTCAGAACATAATTATGAAGTATTAAAGTCCCGAGAGGAAGCTGTATCAGTGCAGAGGAAGAAACTAGAGCTTATTGTGTATTTTCTTCCTTGCTTAAGGGTTCCTTAGCAGGAATATATGCCCACCAAGGAGCTAGCTTGACCCTCAGAACAAAGTAGTTAAACTGTTTCTGCGCTCTCCTTTTCATGGGGACTGCATAAAATCATTCTCTGGGAAAGCAGCTCTTTATTTTATCACCTCATGAAGAAGGTGGAATGCCCAGTTTTATTTGTTGGTTCCTTGCTTCCCTGTTACAAACAGTAATGAAACAAGTGGATGAACTCTGCTGCTCCTGACCCTTCAAAGTTCACATGACAGTGCTTCAGAAAGCATGGACTGCTAATACTGTGGTGAGGTTGTCAGGGTACATAGCAGTTCGTCCGCATAATTAGTCCTGGAGAACCTGCTTGCCTCTTGCATGAGGCAATGCAAAACCCAGCAGTTTTAGTCTAAGTTTAACATAAATCTTTGTTGTTCTTTTAAAATCCATTGATCTGTGATGCACAAAAAGGATGTCTGTATGTTACTGGGAGAATGGAATGTGGGAAATGAGGGTATCTGGAAAAATTACCTTCTGCCTGTATTTTGTTTATGATCCTCCTGGAATAGGGTTTTCTTCTATCTTGGCCCGTTGAATGAGATGTGTGCTTGGCTCTGTCCTTCACTGATGGCATAGACTGTGTTAACAATTGTAATACGATGCTGAAGTCCTAATTTCCTGAGTTTCTTTGAGTGTTAATTACCTCAGCATATTTATTTTAACTGTATTCTGCAGGTAGATGGAAAAGTCAGCATGAATGGAGAAAATTTCAACGGTGTGGAAGAGAAGGATAAAGAGTGTACAACAGTAATATTTACTCCTTCACCAAGCAGATCTCTGAAATTTGATGGAGTAGCCAGAGGGGACAGGCCCCTGGTAGAGTTGAAGAAGGACCCCACAAGTGTTGAGCTCAGTTTACAGAGGCCTGCCACTCAGAGTGTGCACAAAGAGCCAACAGTAAGACCAACACAAGCAAACCAGCCTTGCTTTCTCTGCCAATTTTCTGTCTCGTAACATATTTAATCACTAACTAATGAAACCCAAGTGCTTATGTTTGCTTTATTTCAAGAGGGTGTGCCCAGACCAGGAAAAAAAAAAAAATCCTTTGTAAATTAAAGGCTTCTTCCTTTGGGATATGGGTAGAGAAATGGGAGGGGAAGATTCAAAAAACTCTGTGCAGCCAGCATCTCTTTTTTTTCAGATGTCATGCAGCCGATAAGCATGCTTTAAATGTGCTGGGCCAGGGAGAAATCGACTTTGTGTCCCAGCTATTGTGCAGATTTATTCAGCGCTTCTCCTGATGTTAGCTGATTAGATCAGCAACATAATTGGACTGTGCGAGCCATTATAATTAGTCTCAGTTTTCAATTTTCAAAGAGGAGGATGTGGATATGCTGGCAGTTCTGAACATTCAGCTTTCATTCCCCTCTAAGAAATACTAGAAAAGAGGATAAGCTATTGAAATACTCGGAGGGGCCAACGTGCTTCTTAACTGCCTTATCAAAGAAACAAATTAATTTTACCTTTTCATCTTTCTCTTCCCTCTTCCCCAGAGAAAAAGGCAGGAATAAAACTAGAGCATATCACAGCAGGAATCTAGATGCTACAAAACTATAATAAAAACAAAACAAGAAATAAGGACCAGACTGCAAATAAAGCACGTAAAAGGGTTACAGATGAGTGGCAGGAGAGGGAATTCTCGCCGTTCTTTTCTGTGTAACAATAAAGAGAATCGGAGATAGGGTGTGAGTTGGAGTATGATAATTTTTTGCTTTCATCTCAGATTTCATCCAAGCATTGGCCAGATGGATGACAGGGAGTGGGCAGGGATCTGTCCCAGGGAGTGATTGTTCATTCGTGCCAAAGGGCTTGTGTCTCATCTTACTTCCTTGCTTCATGCCAGTCTCTGGCCATGGACAACCAAGCCATGGAGACTGCAGCAAGCATGGGAGCTGGGATGTGCTGTGAGCACAGACTTCATCCTGTCAGAGGGAACTGGTATAGTCAAAAGTGAATGATTTGCAGGAAAGCAGGCAGGGATGGCAGAGCAGAGGCGGCTCCTGTCAGAATGAATTGGCTGTAAGGGAAAAGCCAGGTAAGCATTGCATCTGATATGGGAAAGCTGGTAATGGGAATGTTTGGAGGACAGAGAAGGGCCTCAACTTGCTGTAGATTAGAAGCACAATGGCAATCAGGAAAGTAGCCAAATGAAAGTGTTCCTGTGTCCTTTTTTAGGATTTCCAGACTAGTATAACTGTGGAAGAGTAGAGAGGAAATTCAGCAACAGAAACCACTGCTAGGGCTTGGGTGTGTTTGTACCTCTTTGATTCCCTCTCATCCTTCCCTTTCTACAGCTTTGAGGATGATGTGGCGAGCTGAACGCAGATTTTTCTGGGTCCAGTTTCTGCTTCCAGTGTCCTAGCCCTCGTGGTGACACTGGCAAAGGAGGCAGAAGAGTTTGAATTCTCAGATTCCTCGTGACTCTGACTTTTGCAGAATACCTCCTGGTTTGTAAGCTTGAGTGCACTTAATGATGAATCCTTCTAGAGAGAACGAGTGTGCACCCAAATGGTGCTATTGACAGTGTTTCTCTGCTCTGACTAAGGATTTTATATCACTAGCTTCACGATTTCATCAATAATGTGACTGGGTAGTGCAAATCATTATAATTACTCCTGATGCTTCAGCTTCAGTCAAAGGTACGTGTGTCAAGCATGTCAAGGGCAGAACAAGGAGACGAGACTGCTTTGAGGGAAATCTTATGTGGGGAAACAAGTGGAATGTGCTGAGCGTGATTTGGGGGAAGAGAAGTAGACGTGCCTGTGGCTGGAAGGGAATTTGCCAGCCTAAGATTACAGGTTCTGTTCCTTCTAGATGTTTGCTTCTCTTTACCCAGCTGCTTCGTTTTAATTTTCCAGGTCCCCATGCCTTAGACTAAGGCATGGGCAGTAATTTAGCTATTAGGCATACAGGAGTGCCCTGGTTCATGGATGGGAAGGGCTTAGATGCCAGATTACAGAGATGGGGCATGGTACTGATTCTTGGCTTCTTCACTGTGTGCGCTGGGGCACAGACTATCAGTGCTATAGGTGGCTCAATATGGACGTGATCAGTCTGGGGCCTTATCTGCAAAAATCAGGCAGCTACGCTGGACTCGCTTCACTCAGCCTTCTCCCTGTACCGATTTTACTTTGGTTTCTGGACAACTAACACAACGATGTCAGCATGCTTCTGCAGAGTCTGACACGCTAAACTCCTCTCTGAAGGTATAACTCCTCCTGTTGGAGGAAGGTTGGTGTCCTGGTTTGGCTAAAACAGGGC